TGTGCTGATTCTGGAGCTTTTTTTTTTGCTCGTTTTTTCAGTATATCTTCGGGAACCTGTATGGATGAGGTGTCCGCCTTCAAAGAGGTTAAGCTACTGCTGTCGTTACACCCCCTTGCCATGGTAGCGTAGCTCGCAAGTTTAGCGGAATGCTAGTGCGCGCGAAAGCAGGAGCGCGAACTGGAACGCAACTTTGACTTGGATCTGCTGCGCGTAGAGACGGAACGCGTGCGAGAGCGGGAGCGCGAACTCGAACGAAATATTGACTTGGATGTGCTGCGCGTGCAGACGCGGCCCCCATCGTTCCTGTTAGAGGTAGCGGCGGATATGTTAACCTCAGGGAATTCTTCCCTGCTGGCATTTCAGTTGTTCTCTATTTCTTGAAGCCTGTTGAGGCGCTGTTGTCCTACGTTGTAGGGTGGTGGACTTGGCATTAGTCTCCTTTTACGTTCCTTACTTGCAGTTTCATGTCCTTCTCCGCATATAGAAAGAAAAACTGTTTATTTCAATCATACAGAAATGTCTGGTGTGGCTCTCAGTCTAGAGCTCCAACAGCCGCTGCTGCGTCCTGTGCCCGCCGAACGAGTGCCCGTTGGTCACTTTGACTTTTGTCACGCAGCATGGCCTCCAAGTCTTGCGGGGTGGGAAATAGGAGAGGAATTGACAGGGCGCCTGGCAGGCTGACGCTGACATACCAGCGTTACTCGAAATAATGTCGGTACCGCTCCGCAGCCGGGGAATTAGTCAGAGTAAGAAGGGGGATGGATGATGTTGAGGAAATAGAAATTCAAAAATTTGTTGGCCCGCAGTTGAAGCACCGCAGTTGCGTCTTCTCGTGTGAGCGTGTGGGGTGGTGGAGGGTACTGAATGCGTTCTCGTCTATAGTAATCGTCGTCATCATTGTTCACCGCAGATTTAATTGTAAAACTGCGACAGTGGTGTCTAGCGGCGTCGCAGCATGACAGAGTGTTTGGAAGAGACTGAATGATGACGCGCGTAAGGTTTTTCTCCCTTGCCCGCCGGCGCTGAGTGTTGCGCTCAAGGGTGCAATTTGCGTGGAAGTGGTGCGACTGTAATTATCGCTGAGTAGGTGCGTAGTTGTTTGCCTGGTGTGTTGTATCCACATCAGGTCAGGGGATAGCCTAGCCTTACAAGAAGCCACTCTCCCACTAGGGTGCTGCAGAATCTTCGCAGCGGACTATTACGTTGTGATTGGGTTAGTTCTCCTAAGTTGTTGTGTACTTCCATGGCTAGAAGGCGGTTGGCGGATGCGCACGTAGGTAGTTTAAGTGCCGCCTTGGTGGCTCTGCTGAGAAAAATGTCCTGTTTTCTCTCTTGTGTAAGCGTTAGGGTTTGATAAGGGACCTGGTAGGTGATGTGGCTTACTATGCAGGCATTAACTACACGTAGACTGTCTTGCTCCTGAAATCCATCCCTTCGGTTGGTGATGCGGTAGATCATATGCGTGATTTGAGATGCTCACGGTTCTAATATTTCGATAATGTGCGTTGCCTTCAGAAATGCTTGAATATAAAGGACAAGGCCGTGGAATTCCTGTACGCAGGGAATTGCATGGTGTTCTAAGGTGACTCTGATTCGCGGGCTGTTGTGATTTCGCTAGGGACGACGAATGAGCAGATGTGACTTCTCTGCAGAGCACGTTAAACCACCGGCTCGTGCGTATGCCAGAACTGAATTTACTGATTCTTCGAGCGCATCTTGTAATTGTCCAACTGAGCCTATGGTCACCCTTATAGTGACGCCGTGCATGTATAAAACATGCCGTATATTTGGAATCGTGGCCAGTAGAGGCAGTAATTTAGCCATGACGATGTTACAAAATGGCAGCGTATTCATTGGGTGAATGATGGGGAGTGGGGTGAATTATCCATCCGTCCATTCGTTCGTGCTTCCATCCGTCCATGCATACGTCTGTGTGACCGTCTGCGCGTGTGTCTGCTCGTGCGTCCACACGTCCCTCCGTGCGTCCATTCCTGCGCTCGTCCATGCATCCGCCCCTGTGTCCGTCCATTCATCCATACGTCTGTGCAGCCATCCGTGCGTTCGTCCATGCATCTGACTGTGCGTCTGTTCATCCATCTAGTCAACACTCCAAGTAACACCATCTCGCATCTTTTCATCATATATTCTGCATGTAGAAGCACCACAATCCAGCCGACATTTCAAGGACTAAACGAGAGGTAGCACACGCACACTTTCTTACGGCTTGCGCTTCGTGTCTACTTCTCACCTTTAACAACCTCGAGTTCATGGTATATACTAGTTCACTGTATTGATGGCACTGTGGCCCAACGATCGCTAAACCTTTCTTCGTCCATTCGTTCTTGCTTCCGTCCGTCCATGCGTTCGTCTGTGTGACTGTCCATGCGTGTACCCGCCTGTGCATGCGTGTGTCTGTTCGTGCGTCCACTCATCCATCCATGCGTCCATCCCTGCATTCGTCTATGCATCCGCCCCTGCGTCCGCTTACGCATCCATGCGTCCGTGCAGCCATCCATGCGTCCGTCCACGCATCTGTCTGTGTGTCCGTTCATCCACCTAGTCAACACTTCAAGTATGACCATCTCGGATATTTTCATCATATTTTCTCCATATAGAAACGCCGGCATACAGCGGACTTTCCAAGGACTAAACGAGAGGTGGCACACGCACACTTTCTCACGGCTTGCGCTTCGTGTATACTTCCCACCTTAAACCACCTCAAGTTCGTAGTATATTAGTTCACTGTATTCATGGCACTGCGTCTCAATGCTCGCTAAACCTTTCTAAAACCAAGGAGGCTACGCCCAGCGAGTATAACTTTTTAACTCTTTCTTGTCAGATAGTGCTCACTGTACATGCCATTGGCTGCTGACTGTGAATGAGAGACAGGAGAAATGGGCTTTTAGTTAACGCACACGCTGCGAATTTGTTATTGTTCAACAACGCACAGGAGAAATCTCCCACCGGCCCCACCTTGCAGGTCAAAGCGTAAGACACGTAAGGGACGAACGGGTGCCGCTTTAAGGAGCTTCGCACCTAAAATTGTCGGAGAGAACACCGGTCCTTGCGGCATGCCTTTACCCGCGAGCTTGATGATGTCACTGCGAAGAGTGCTTAACCTTATGGTCGCCATCCTGTTTGTTAGAAATGCTTTAAAATAGTCGTAAACTCATCGTCCGCTCCGTGTCAGCGCCAGATTCTCCAGTATCAGGTCATACGAGTCATTGTGAAATGCACTGCAGATGTCCAAGGTAAGCAGAGCTCTAGTTTGCGCCGAACTGAGCCTGTTCATTACTTCCTATTCTAGTTGAAAAAGCATGTATTGCGTTGACAGATGAGCCCGGTACCCAAACAGTGGCTGGAGAAAATCCCTGGGCTTCAAGGTATGGTTGCAATCTTTGGAGGACGACGTGCTTCCATAATTTAGTGAGGCAAGAAGTCAGAGTGGCTTGCCGCAGGTTTTATTGTTCTATGGGTTTCCCGGACTTGGGAATCAGTGTTATTTCGGCATGTCTCCATTCTTGGGATAACGTTTTGGATTCACAGTGAGTGTTGTAAAAATCTGTCAATTGTTCTAGATCTTCGTCATTGAGGTTACGAATGAGATTGTATTGTATGTTGTCTTTGCCTGGTTCTGTGTCGCGCATTCTTTCAACATGTCCCCATTCTTGGGAAAACGTTTCGGATTTACAGTGATTGTTGTAAAAATCTGTCAGCTGTTCTAGATCTTCATCAGTGAGGTTTCGAATGAGAGTTTATTGTATGTTGTCTTTGCCTAGTTCTGTGTCACGCTTGATATTCAGAAGGGCAGCTCAAACCTCGTGCACAGTTATATCAGCATTCAGTGGTGTTAACTCTGTATATGGGTAGTTTTGATATTTTGGTTGAGGGCCTGCAGTGATATACACTTCTTGAAGCATCTGTAAGATGATGTTGTCGTCCCCATCCTGCTTGTGGAAAAGTGTTTGGAAGGTACTGCTCGTGTAGGACGGCACTTTTCGGGTCTACAAGGGCTCTTAGTATGGCCCACGTGCGTGCAGTGCTTAGCGTACCATTAAATGACTTGCAGAAGTCGTGCCAGTTGTTCCTCGTGAGCTCTGTGGCGTATTGTTCGGCTTGCAACGTTATTTGAACAATGCGAAGTCTAAGCTCTTGATTGTGTCTCAAGCTATGCCAAAATTTTATGAGGCTTCTGCGTGCTTCCCATAGGTGTAGAAGGTAACTGTCTACATCTGGATTTGTGGTGGTAGTGCTTATCCTCTTGGTTTCTTTATCAATGTCAGCTTTCAGCCACTGTAGCCATTCACTTGAAGGTGTCCCTGTGTTGTCAGTCTTAGCGCGCTGTTTACTTAATGCAACCCGATTAGTGACACGAACCTTCCACTCTTGAGTATGGGGTTGAAGATTTGCAGTGTAGTAGAAACGATGCAATTATTATATCTAACGTTTCATGTAGATTTGACCAGTTATAATTGCTTACTCTCCTTACAAAGGTTAGGGCATGGCACGTATCTCTGGTTGTGCTGGTTTCTATTCTGGTTGGCTTTTGTGGATCTGTGAGCAGTGTAAATCTGCGATTGCAGATGAGGCGTTCTAGCTTGGTACCTAAAATAATGCAGATCACAGTGTTCGCGTTTTGCTAGCGTAGCGTTGCTACGCCCAGCATACGCGCGCGTCAACGTTACACCGGAGTATATTGGGCGCTTGGGATGCGCTCGCGGCCGTTTCGCTCACTCGACATATACAAAGTTTGGTGTTACGTGACGTCAATAGATGACGAAGGTACATGACACGTCTAAACAAGATAATCATGACATGTGAATTATGTAGAGCATGATTTACTTCCCCCTCGTAACGTTGTGCTGATTTCAAAGCGACATATTAACCTTCCTCAATCGTGCTTCACATATCATGAATTCCCACTGTACGTGGAATCTGCCAATTTTTTGAGCACCTCACTGAGATTATATGATGGTGACTTTCAAATTTTTTTCTAGCTTCTGCTTTCAAGCTTCCTGCTGATGACTTCACTGTGCAAGGCACATTTGGCGATAATTCCAAGGAGGCTGCCGCAGAAGCCATCTTAATAGGACACATTCTGCGCACCGCTGCAAGAGAACTTGAGCAGTACGATGATCATAGCAGTGAGGTGAGTGTTAATGCAGTGTAACCTCATTAAACAATTTCAGTTTAGTGATTAGGCAAGGCTGCACGTGTGGAACCTGCTGCACACACTACGTTTCAGACAGCTTTTTACAGCATTTGAGAGTTTTAGAACAGTGCAACGCAAAGCTTTGCCGCTACGTTGCGCATACGTCGTCGCAATTACTTCTTGCGGGCTTCTATCAGGTGGCAAACGCTAGCACTACACCTGCAAGTTGTGCGTATGGTATTGCAAATATCTCTATTAGCTTACAGTGCGCAAATTCCGAAACACGCAATGCCAATTAGCGCCAATAGACTTGCTTTTGAGTGTTACTTCGCGTCATCTATCAGGAAATACGCTGTAATAACTAATATTGGACGAAGCAACACACAAGTGAAGGCATCAGAAAGGCCAACCTCTTTCGGGGGTGAGTGGTGGTTCAGGTTTTTGAGTTGTGTTAGTGAAACTGCCTTTTTTCTTCAGACTGTGTCATGCAAAGCAGCACGACGGACACAACAAGCTCAAAAACGCATGCTTAGTGGTAATTTATATTTCATTTTCTCCGCTAAATACCTGCGACACTGCTAAAGAAAACGAACACCTTCTAGAAACGTGGGAGGCCAAGCTCGCATCGAAGTACCTAGATCAACATCCACGACTCATCGCCAGGGCCAAGGAGGCAGCGATAGCCACAGGGATCGTGGAAAAGGGAGACTTCTCAACTAAGGTGGAAGCAGAACCTACACAACTACACCATTTCGAAAAAAAAACGTTTATTCCTCCTCTCTCACAATACGACACTTAACTAAAATTGACAATACCACGATGAGATGGCTGTATCATAGGACTACGTAGGGTAATTTTTTATTGAATTAAGTAGCCAGCACTGCAACCACAATTCATGTTTCACGAAGAGTAAGGCTTATCTGAAAAGCAGTTCCAAGACTTAGCGTTAGTTAATGGTATAACACTAGATTTCTACGCAGAATTCTGGGATTGTATTCCTATACGAATTCTGATACTTATTCTTTACATCCACAGAAGAAATGCTGCTGATGACTTTCTCGCGCGCTACAAGCTTGAATGAGACATTATACAAAGAGAAGTCACGTGTGTGGCTAAATGCATTATGTGTTTATTCCTGTAATATCATAATCATCGCCTACCAACTAGAGTAGCATGCCAGGCGAAAAACCAAACTAACACCTCCTTCTCTTCATAAAAATATCTCTTTCTGTAGAGGCTCTGTAGAAACTTCCACTCATTGTGCGCGCCTGAAACGACTGCTTGCCAAAAATTATGTGAAAGACAACAAAACGTGCGTTTAGATTTCATGATCTAAGTTGTAATGCATTGCTGGAACTTTCTGAAGTGTTAAACAGTACCCCTTTTGAATCAACACGCAAAAAAAGCACTTTTCTGTTTATCTTTGTTCTTGTTTTCAGATCGACGAATACTCTTTTAAAAGCTTTTGGGCAAAGCTGAAGGAGGCACTGAAGAAGGGAACTGAAAAGGCCGCCATTTTTCTATACGACCTGGCGAAAGAAGTGAAAAGCTCTCTGAAAGAAATCATCGTAGCAGCGGCGGACGCGGCAGTCAAGACATCTAAAGAAAAGGCGAAGGAAAAGGCCGTCCTAATTGTGACAAAAGTCATGGACAAAATTGCGGCCGAAATGAAATTGCCAGAGGTCAACAGCAACGCCGAATTTACCAAGCTTCTGATCAAGGGTCTCGAGCAAGTTGGGCGATCACTTATTGAGGAAGGCTCAGAAATTTTGAAACAATAAAAACAATTCCACAATCTCTGAATGGAGTGCAAGTGGTTATATACTTTAAAAAGGTTGGAAGAAGGGGTGTGACATTGCTGTCATGTAAAAAAGTCCTAAAGGTATGAAAAAAATATTTATTGCTGTCTTCATAATTGTCCTTGTTCAAGTGGCACATATGGTATAGTAGGTTTAGAAAATAAACGAAGCAATGTATAAAAAATGAAGAAATTAAAGTGGAATCACGAAATCGGTAAACTTGTATAATGGAGGTCGTTCAGACTAACAGTCTACTGCTTCTTGAGGTTTTGAAAAAGCGGCTTCCGGTAAATATTATGGTGTAACGAAATTCGGTCAAAATGTTCGCAAAATGTAAACTTACTTTTACACGACTGCCATGATGTCACTCTTCAGGAGAGCGACTGTGCAGGGTGTTGGAATATTTCTCACGCATTTGCTCAGGTATGTGTGTCATGCGGGTGTAGTCGTCATCGCTACGCATGAAGAGAAGCAGATGCGTAATTGACTATGATTGCTCATTGTGAACCTGTTGGTATAATAAGGCAGCTGAGTTAACTCGCGCCTTGGTGTCTCTTTCAGAAGTCACAACTGACTTTTCCTTAATGGTAAAATTGCAACCATCCGCTTTTACGAAGCCTTAAAACGGCAATTGATTCTTTGCCGATAGTCTGCCGATCTTCAATTATACTTGACCGCTTGTATCCACTATATAAATGTTATTAGTTTAGATACCTTAATTATAGCCACAGTTGATGTATCTAGTCATATTAGTATGCCTTTCGTTAGGAGGAAAAATAAAAATGATGGAGACGAACAAATAATTAATTACCGTGTTTTGTAGTACCTTCAAACTCATTTAGTGAAACACAGAGTATCTATTGCATATAATGTTGAACCCAATCCCTGGAGAATACCATCAAAAATTAGATAAGTGTTGCGACCATAATAGCCTGGTCAGGCCTCCATATTTTATTTTCCCCGCAAAAGCAAAACATGTTTTTGTATGCGTGCAATACTTAAATACATTCCACCAATATTAACATCGATTTCGGTCTCCCTTGTTCCCTCGTTAGGTTTCTCGAGACTGAGCTACTTCTTCCTTCATCAGCGCTCTATATCGTTAGAAAAGGGAAAGGTTCATAGAGAGTGGTGCACTAAATAAAACCAAAAAATTGAAAAGAGCGGTAAGGCAATGTTTTGCAGGGTTGCCTCTCTATTTTCAATATTACTTTAGGTGTCGCCTTGAATAACTTCATGACAGATACTCCTCGCAGAAGTCCTTGGATATGCTGAAGTCACGTAAAAACTTTTGCTGCTCAATGTAAGATATCATTGCATTCCAAACAACGCTGTAAGTTGATTGCAGCTGCATTAATAGTATAGTTCATTGTTTGGGCAAAATTCCGGGGAAGCGATCATTGTTTTAACTGTGGTTCTTCACGGAACGAAATTGCGTTTATCGCTAACCAAGAGCACAATTTATGACGGCGCGAAAAATTGAAATGAAGAAAACATGAAACGTCGCCAAGGACACAATTTCGCGACAAAATGTTCTTCGCCCGTCGAGCCACACGTTGGCAGTGAGATTAAAACATATTGGCACATTGTGAACACTGCATACATAGACCAATGTCGTTAACCTTTGTCGTATCTTGTCGCGATTGTTGTAATGACCAAGTTCAGAAATTCGAGATATCAAACGCTAGCCTTCAGCGAGGAGGTGGCTAGATAAGCTTTCAATCTTGGTCTTCCAGTTTGTAGACGCAAATAGCTAGCAATTGCGTTCAGGTTGAGCGTCTGGCGAAACTGGAGTAGCTTTGCAAAGATGAAAGAAATGGTTCACTTTCCGCAACCGAGCATTGTGCCAAAAGTCCCATGCAAAAGCTTCATTTTAATGTACATACTAGCATTGTTCTTTGATTTAGGCTGTATTACGCCACCAAACGTAGATAAGATTATAATTGGTACTATAGGGCAGATCTCAACATGATTTTGAACATCTCAGGTTGGCTATTCATTGAAATCGCACTGTACACTAGATCTATAATTTTTCCTTACATCAAAATGCAGTTTCCATGGTTGAAATGAAAACTCGGTCTTTCCTGTCAGCAGCCAAGCATCTTAATCCATGAAGCACTGAGGTAATGTCACTCTGTATTGTAGAACTTAGTATTAATCCTAAGTAAGACTAATATACGTACGCAATATAACTACAATTGAAGGAAAAGGAATCTATCCTCACTTCAAGTATTTGAAGACGGGTCTTCTGAAATTTATTTATTTATTTATTTGCAATACTGCCAGACTCTATTGAGACCATAGTAGGTGGGCAGAGATGCTGCGATTGCTCATCATGGCAAAAGAACTGTAATATATAACATAAAAGCAACATCAGCCTGGCACTCTGTATATTAGCAATATTTACCCAACATCATAAACAAAATACAAGTGCATACAAAATGGTTAGTTTAACAATAAGGCCGCTTACATGTCTGTTTACAGAACATACAAGTAGTACATACTGGTTTCATTACCATTGTCGCTGGGTATTTAAAGAAGCTGAAAATTGTTTTTATTGTCTATCTTAAACTGAGACAGTGACTTACTGTTGATGATGTAAGGGGCCAACATGTTCCAATTTTGAATAGCAACCGGAAAAAATGAATATATAAACACATCAGTGTTGCATTTGTATTGTACTATTGCATGTGTATGTTTGTGTCTCGTGGCTTGAGTTTGGAAATAAGACATGTAATTTGGAATGTTCATTTTCAGATAATTGTGCAGGAGTTCATAAAGAAATTTTTGACATGCCTGTTTTGCTCGTACTTCTAGCGTAGGAAGTTCGGAAAGTGTTAGAAGACTATTGAGTGAGTGTTCACGCTTATATTTGTTGTTGATGAGTATTATGGCTTTCCTCTGTACTGCTTCAATTTTCTTTATGTTTGTGCGGGTGTGAGGAAAGCACACTGTACTTTCATATTCGAGGATGGGCCTGACGAATGCCTTGTAGGCTAGGAAATTTGTTGGCAAGTTTGCCATTTGAAGTTATATGCGAAGAAAAAATACTTTTGCGTGGCAGTTGAAGTATTGTTACTATTGTGCTCGTCCCACCTCAAGTCGGACGTTATTGTTAAGCCTAGGTATTTATGTTTGTGAACTCTGCTCAGAGCAGCGCCACTTATAGTGTTGCAAAAATTTGATGGCTTCCTCTTCCTCGTTATTATCTTGTAAGCTGATTTTTTAACAATTGATGGTCATCTGCCAGTTTGAACACCATTCAGAAATAGCAGAGTGAATTGTTGAGCGAATAGTGATCTTGGACATTTTTATTTTCTCTAATAAGGATACCGTCATCCGCAAATAACTTTATTTTACAGTCTATATTAGTAGATATGCCATTGATATACACGAGAAATGACAAGGGCCCGAGCATGCAATTTTCGGGCACTCCTTAGTAACCGGTACAATATTTGATGCAATATTTTTGACAACAACAAACTGAGACCTATTAGACAAAAATTTACGCACCCAAGCAACCATTTTTCCGTCCCCGATAATGTTCTGTCGCTTAGCAATTATCTTGGTGTGAAAAACGCAGTCAAACGCTTTTGAATAGTCAAGTAAAATTACGTCTGTTTTGCTGTGATTGTCAATACCTAGCCCAAGATTGTGTATGACCTCAGTCAGCTGCGTCGTGGTCAATAAACTCCTAGAAAATCCAAGCTGGTTGGGGGACAGAACGCCCTCGTTTTCGAAAAAACAAATTTTATATGTTTCAAGACTATATGCTCGGGTAGTTTGCATACCATGCTCGTTAAAGATATTGGTATGAAATTAGAATCAATGGATTTGGCTCCCGATTTATAAATTGGAATATTTTTAGCTATTTTTCAATCATCTGGTGGTCATGATGTTGAAAGCAATTTACAGAAAATACTGCCGGGATATCTGCTACCCCATTCTGCGTACCTTTTCAGAAATCAGTTGGGTATATTATCCGGACCACATGCTTTCTCAGTATCTAAGGCAAGCAGAAGAATAGGAATACCAGTGTCTGTGATAACGAGAGAGTCGATCAAAGACACTGCGCGTGGAACCGATTCCGGCATGACGCCATCATCTCTTGTAAAATCTGAATGAAAGAACTGGTTATATTTGTTGGCTTTACAAACTTTTTCAAATGACGATAGTTGAGTTGTGGGCGTGTTCTTTCAGCGAGAGTGGTTCCACAATTTTGTAGATCTTTGTGGAAATAAAACGATCGTCTTTACTGTACGTGTTAGTGGTGTAGTATGAGGACCACTCACGAGCTAGAGGAAAGCCCTGTGATCAGTTTTTCTATGGTATTGTATACCAGAATTCGCGCTATTCACTCTTTCTTATGTAAAGAATGCCTCAGACACAAGCTAGAACAAGACGTCTTATACCCAGAACGAGAATATAAGTTATACAGTGAGCACGAAAAGACAGGCACCGCTGCGCTTGGCTAAATATTTTGCTCTTCGTAGTAGCTATCATCAATGGTTACCGGTGCGTGTGGGCGAGTATTAGCTCTTCAAAAGAAATAACATCGATTTCATCTGTTATTGAAGGCACATGGTAAGTGACAGAAGTGAGATTACCCTAACAGTGTAGAAATATTTACGGGCTTTTCAACAAGTGTTAAACAAACCAGAGAGACATCGCCAGATCTTTGCCGCTATAATAGCAGGCCCAACAGATATCGATGAAAAGAATCGTGCCGTCTCTGAGCACATTCCCAATCAATTATCTTTGGGCATCGAGAGTGACGCTTTTGGGCTATAGAGAGGGGTGATGGTGACTCACAGAAGTTTGCAAATGGTGAGTGAGGAGCACCGCACTGCGAACGATGTTAACATCCATGACCTTTGGTGTAGCCGTGATCACACCCATGACCATTTTTCTTACTATACACATTTATTTATCATAGTACCCACAGCGCCAAGGGCATTACAGTAGGGGGAAAGTATACAAAATTTCAACACTGAATACATATAC